ATAACGGCAATAACACCAATAACGGCAATAACAGCAATAACTCCAATAACGGCAATAACTCCAATAACGGCAATAACAGCTATAACGGCAATAACACCAATAACGGCAATAGCACCAATAACGGCAATAACGGCATTAACGGCAATAACGGCAAAAACATCAATAACGGCAATGACGGCAATAACACCAATAACGGCAATAACGGCAATAACACCAATAACTCCAATAACGGCAATAACACCAATAACGGCAATAACGGCAATAACAGCCAAAACGGCAATAACGGCAATAACAGCTATAACGGCAATAACACCAATAACGGCAATAACACCAATAACGGCAATAACACCAATAACGGCAATAACGGCATTAACGGCAATAACGGCATTAACGGCAATAACACCAATAACACTAGTAACAGCAATAACTCCAATAACGGCAATAACAGCTATAACGGCAATAACACCAATAACGGCAATAACAGCAATAACTCCAATAACGGCAATAACTCCAATAACGGCAATAACAGCTATAACGGCAATAACACCAATAACGGCAATAGCACCAATAACGGCAATAACGGCATTAACGGCAATAACTGCAATAACGGCAATAACACCAATAACGGCAATAACACCAATAACGGCAATAACGGCATTAACGGCAATAACACCAATAACGGCAATAACACCAATAACACTAATAACTGCAATAACGGCAATAACACCAATAACGGCAATAACACCAATAACGGCAATAACACCAATAACGGCAATAACAGCAATAACTCCAATAACGGCAATAACAGCTATAACGGCAATAACGGCAATAACACCAATAACGGCAATAACACCAATAATAACGGCAATAACACCAATAACGACAATAACAGCTATAACGACAATAACAGCTATAACTGCATTAACCACAGTACACGCGTAAAAATTGATCAGGTTGTTGCAACATTGTTCGCTGAACAACGTTGCAACAATGAGGTTATCATGGCTGAACAACGTTGTTCAAGCGACAATCGTTAACAATATTGTTCCAACAACTTGTTCACGCTTGATGAACGAACAATGGTTGTTGCAACATGATGGAACAAGCGTCAACAAGGTTGATGAAACATGCTTGATAAATGTTGTCAGAACAATGTTGTTCAGCGTTGTTCTTTCATCAGGCGTCAACAATATTGTTCGAACAGGCGTGAACAACATTGATAAAAGAACAAGTTGTTTTTAGTTGTTCGAACAACCGTGAACAGCATTGTTATAAATAGACGGTAAAATAATGATTTGATCGAACAACACGAAAACTTGTTTTTATTGGTTGTTTCGAAATCGCTGGGATGCAAAACGGATGAATGCGACGAATAACACGAGAGCAAGAAATCAAACGGGCTTTTACAGCAAAATAAATGTCATTTAAACTTTGTGGTTTTTTCTGAAGATTGAGGGGAAAATACTGAAGAAAATAACTTGGTTAGTGTCTTGTTTTGAGGTAAGGTTAGTTGTAAAAGCTTAAAACAACCCGACCTTTTGATTTTAGTCATTTTCATAGTGCACGACGAAGAAATGCACACGCACAAACTTTATAGTACTTTTATATAGGCATTGCA